AATGCTGGTTCTGACATCTGCAACGAGCCCGTTATCCACGACTGCGTCCGTTGTGACCAGAGCGACCGCTCTCCGCCGCGCGTACACTCCTGCAACCACTGCCACAAGCGCAGCGGGTCGGCAGCACGGCGACCGCCTCTCCGCCGCCGTCAGCTCTTCAGCGGTGCCTCTAAAAGGAAGGGGACGCGCTGCCACTCACTTGCGTAACAGAAAATAGACAGACCGTCCTCTATGATCACAAACTTTTTTTTCAGGATACGCTTGCAGGGTAGTGCATTAAAAAAAGAGAAAAAGATGCAGTACGCCGTCTTGCACGATCACGACTTTAATACACGACTTTGACAACACTACAAATCTCGCCACACACATTTTCTACGATTAGAAAAGACAATGTAATCTTAGCAGCGATATAGCGACGTAGAAATATAATTTCATGATCAGCTAGACGTTGCGAGCGAGACGTTGTTAGCGTTGAGGATTGCTAACACTAATCACCTTTCTCGGGTGATGAAAACGGGTGAAAATTCGCATCATTTATACGGTACGCACCAGTAATACCTTGAGCTTGAGCACACGCATCGAGTGAGCCAAGAAAGAAATCCGGGCGATGTCCAAGGACACAAATGCTTAGAAAGCACCACTGTAGTCGAAGTAAACAAACACGACGGCACGAGCGTTTCTGCTGTCTTGAGAGTGCCGCCACGAGATCGCCGCACGAGTAGGTGGATCTTCCCTTGCAGTACGTGCTGGGTTATCATAACGACACACGACGAAAATTGACAGTCAAGGGTAGCGCTTTTACGGGGAAGGATGAGCTTCCACCACGCCGTCCACGCCAACGATCACCACCGACGCCATGTTTTGCAGATAGAAGGAGCCCGGCACGACCGGCATGCAACGCGCGCGACCGAGCTCACCTCGACCTGTGATTGTTCTGTCGCTTCCGTCGTTTTCGAACGTAACGAAAAAGTTCAGCCCGGCGCAGCTGCTTGCGTTGCGAACGAACACGAACAAAACGACCATTTGGCGCTTCGTTGCTATGGCAACTCGTCGTTCCAACCGGTTGCATTCGTTTGTAAGCGTAGTGGTCGCTCCTAACGCAACTGTGTGAACGGGCCTTAAGCGTTTCAGGCATGCGTGACGCCTCCATAACTATAGCTAAAGTGAACTAGAGGAGGGATAGTGATTTCAGAGAGCGCTCACGGCTGCCGCACTTCATATGGACGGCACGAGAGGGCGCCACTAAAGCATGGGCTGTACTAGCGCAAGCTTCGCATTACATTTGATGCGCTACTTTCGTTGTCGTTGTCATCTTCGTTGCCGTCGTAGTCCAATCCGCATTGCGCTTCATTCGTAATAAGCGACAGAAAACACGGTGGAAAGATCTGAACAAAAGCCAGTACGCGCTGCCAAACCGCGAAGTCAAACCTGCTCGCCGAAGGCCCCTGGAAAGCTTGGATCCTTCAGCCCATGCTACCGCAGCGCCGCCGGTATATCCTGGATCTTTCTACGCTCGCTGCTTTATAGCAATGCATGGGGCGCGTCGGCGCTATAAAGTTATTACAATAAACGCTAGAGACTCAGCTGGCGCTAGTGTCTACGGGACTTCTAGTTGCAAATTGAAGCAGACAGAAACCAGTCTACTTTTCAGTCTTACTTTGTATGCTTATGAGAAAACTTACATGATAGTTTTCTTTCCGCCAGCGATTAATAGAAATCAGCGTAGTTTCTTTACTCGTAACGCGTACCATGCACCTTTATTCGCATTATAAAAGTCTAATTACTTTAGCTAAGGTTTTTTTTTTTATTTCTGAGAGATCTTTAAGTCAGGAAAAATTTAAACCCAGGTTTATGTTGTACAGCATGATATGTCAATACAAAATATCAATTCAAGCAAAAAGAGCAATTAAATATCAAAAAGATAAAAAAAACACTTGGTTACAGCTTTATTTCGATTATTCATGCACAGTTTGTTCCTAATCCAGTACATGTTCTGCGTCTCACTTATCCATGCTTCGTTCTTGTCGCCTGATTTGATTGTTTTATTTGCCACATATTAGCATCCTTTTGGTGTTTTGTCAAGCCGATTAACTTTATGTGCTTCATAGCTTTGTCTATATGCGTAAATACGTGCCCTATAATAGGCAGTCTGCAACGTCAACAGGTATCATGCATGTGTATTGGGCTATTTTAGCGCAGTATTCGGCGCTATGAATTCGAAAGAAAAACGCTCTAACTGAAACATATTTTTGTACATCTGATTACAAAATATTAAAAAAATTTTATTATGTCACAACACTAAGCAATATCTGCTCGTATAATCGAGCGTGAAGAGAAATCGCATTTGAGTGTTCCCATAGGAATGCATTACCGGAGGTCAAATTTAGACTGGCTGCTGTCTGCTTCAAAATGCAACGGCACATCGACGTCACCTGAGCCTCTACCGTTTATTGTAATAACTCTATGGTCGGCGCCTGATCGCGATACCCTTCCTCTAGTTCACTGTTCTGTAGTTCATAGAACTCCAGTCCAGGAGTCACCTTTTGCAGATCCTCAGCGGGGATGTCCCGCGTGCCGAAAGTCTTGTTTTTCTACAATGGATGGCAGCAGCAGTGCCGTAAAAAACTGGCTGTGAGATCGCCCTATTCACGCAATCTTGGTTTCTGCGCTCTCCCAGTGCTCACATCGAGTGTGGATAAACGCGGGCTGGTTGGTAAACGCCGTCTTCGATACTTGCAGACTGGGGTCGCTCCTGCGGTCCAAATGAAGTCTACAAAAGATGCGTGGGCAGCAGCTGCGCTGAACACAAGTGTCATGGCCGTGAGCGCCTCGTCTGCACCAATGACTGCGTCAACGGCTGCTTCTGCGCGCCTGGCTTCTACCGCAAACGTGACGGACGTTGCGTTCGCAAAAGCCGCTGCTGAGTTCTTCCGGATTCAAGATGCCCGTAGGCCATCTCCGGAAGCATTGCACGGAGCTCAAATGCAATAATTAATTTCTCGCTCAAAATTATGCTTTTGGGATCATCAGGACATGCGATTAATAAAGTATCTAATCTTATTATGTACTATGTAGTGTTGTTTTCTTGCATCTTTGAGGAAGTCTGGGATTGCACGATGAAGGAAATGACGAATATTTATTGCCTCAACTGGCTCAAAAAACACATAACTCTTCCAGAAGCTTTTTTTCTTCTTTTAAATAAAACCTTTGGAAGGGCGCGTTTTATCACATCGGACCTTGGAATTGCTCTTGCCTTTCGCAAAAATTAAAATTTTCGGTCGCTGTTTAACAGCAAGAACGTTGCTTCACACTTCCTTTATGTATACTCTTTTAATAGATGTAACCAAATTAGATAAATCATTATTGCTCAAAGGTGTATCGCTAAAATATTACTTTTTTTTGGCCAAAGTACTGCCAACGAAATTTATTCCGAGGTCAAATGCAACATTTTGAATAAAGTAGAACTCTAGTTCAAGCCAAGCCTCTAAAGCACTTTTATTCGGTCATATTGCAAAGCTTTGAAGGAGATATTATCAGCTATACCTGATAATATTTGTGAGCATGTGAAGCGCTCTCAGCTCTTGCTGGTAAAAGCATAAAGCCATTTCTTAGCTCCTGCCAAAATCGAAACGGCCGTTTATTTGTTTATCAACACAAAGTCATGACATTTATGCAAAAAGTTGAACATTTGCCACTTTTTGTTGCATACAAAAGAAGCAGTAGAGCACCCAAATGTAGCACGCTCGCAGATTTTAGTTCCGTTCAGCGTGTTCCACTTTTAATTCTTTACAACCTTAATTTAGGTGACGACATTTGAATGGACACTCAGCTCCTAAAAAACTGTTTTTAATTCTGGAAAGAAGACGTATGGTCGCAACATAAGCTTTCCTCTATTAAATAAATTCGCGCATGATTAATGTTGTCAGACAGATCTTAATTGTCGCTACACAAACCTTGCGCATGACTCGGGAGGTTTTGAACATAAAGCTTGCTCAAGATTTGGAAGATTTTGAACATAAATTATGAGTAAGATTCGCCACATAAAATTTACCCAAAATTCTCGAGTTTGGGAAGATTTTGAACATTAATCTTGCACAAGATTCTTAACGTAAATCTTCCGAGAGACTCGCCAGAGATCTCATAACGTGTATATTGCACGGAACACTTCATTCCGGCGAAGGTTGATCTTATTACACACGTGTGCAATGCAGACACCTAATGAAATATTTTTGACGGAAGGGATCAGTGTACCGAGGAGAAACACTTCTCACTTCGGGAATCTTTATTTTTTGAACTGCGTTTCATAACCAAGGACTGTAGACGAACAATTTTGGAAAGTCAGGGGAATATACTCTCCATAAATAGTGAAGCTCCCGAATGTGTGGACATATTAACCGCGTACTCCCGCATTGTGTTCTGCTTCCAAAAATTTTTCATTCCACAATTATGCAATATCGACCACGTCTCATTTGTCATATTTTATCAAACTGTATTTGTGTGACAACATCTGCCCGATAAAAAATGTAAATCATTGTGAAAACGTTGCAACGAATGTTCGTAGAACTATCAATCCTCATTTCAGTGATCCGGCAGAAAAAAACCACGCATGTAAAAAAAAACGTTTTTGTTAACTTCTTTTTTTTTTTTTTTTTTTTTTTTTGCAGCCGGCTGCAGATTTTTACTTTAGATGACCCCACACCAGGACATCAGAGAGACCACAGGTTATCTGAGGTGTCCATCCGTAATTTGACCTTAGCAGCTCTTGCACCGGGAAATTCTAATCAATTTATCAATCAGACGACGTCATTAGGAACAAAGTATTAAGAACCTCGTCTGGTGATAATTCCGTTGGTTTTTATCTATATTTCAAGTGTTATTTGTTCTATTCGGCTTAAGCCATTGACTTCGTTCTCGCGACAGAAACTCTAAAAGATATAAAAACCTGTCGATTAGGATCGAAGACTATAGACAATTGTTCTACAGCAACCAAACATCGAAACATGAAGGTGCTTCTGATCTCCGGCTTTCTGGTTCTTCTGGCGGTCACTACAGCCTCTGCAAGAAGTAAGACATCTTTGAAGCTGGTTCTTCTTTCACTTATTTTAGATTTGTATACCTTTACCGCTGCGACAAAGAGAAAGCGGTTGCTGACTCAGCTTAAAGAACGCGCAAATACTTTGAGCAATACTTGACTAAACACATGTAGTCGCGCCATTTATTTATGCTCCGTCTTGCATTAACTCTAACCGCAGCCAACACTACGATACTACGGTGCCAACCAAGCAGTGCCACGACTGCATCATCAAGGCACTCATCATCTTTGTGCAATTGCTATCACCGTCTACTACAATCACGCACATTGAATTCTAAGAGATCCTGCGCTCTTTATGCGCGTGATTGGTTGAGTCGTGTATATCGGACGCACAAAGACGTCTAGCGCCGTCATGATGTGCTCTTTCGGCGCTGCTTGAGTGGCTCCATCGAATCATAGAATTTGGTGACGGTCTGATGTATTCTTCAACGAAGCATAAACACCCGAAAATGGAATCTTCTTTCTAATCAGGAAGAGCGTTTTACTCTGTCAACATTTTACCCCGCGCCGGTTTCAACTGAATGCTGCACAATAATTTAGCTCTAAGGCTCTTCTATTTATAAGATGTAGAGAAAACTACTTTATATTGTCACAAGATTGAGTGTGTAGAGTCATCATCACGCAAAACAAACGAATTCAGGCCTTACATTGCAATATATTTTTTGTAATAATCCGTCGAGCTTTTACACGCATTCCCATAGTCTCCTGTCACTTGCAATTTTTTTTATTTCACTTTAGATTTATGGTACTTGTTCGGTTTACGTATAACAGGTTCCTCCTGCTAATTATATTTGTTTTAATTACTCATTTCCGTATGCGTCAGCCGCGTGTTTTTTTTAGAGTACATACTCCGACAACACAAGTTGGGACAGTTTAGTGGTCGCTGAAGGGGGTAAAATGTCTCATGATATGCTTTACATGTGCTAAGACATGCAGCCGACTGCCACAATGAAACAAGAACAAAACGTGGAAGTAACTTTCAACCTCGTTTTTTTTTAAGAACATTAACATAACGTCGGTACTCCCTGCATAGCTTATGTGCTAGCCCTCCTGAGCGGCGCATCGGCCAGCTCGTGGTGTCGCACCTTGTGCCAATCGTCCCCACTGTAAGTACAGAAAACCTGTCACTGGCTGTACACGTGACGTTTAGAGTGCATTTTATTTTATTTTAAACGTGCTCACGTTATATTTTTTTTATTATAATCTAGCTAGGGTGTACGAAATGATGCGTGATTTGATCCTCGCTCTATTACTTGCAGTATCCCCCGGATGGAGCCGGAAGTGCGGTCCCAATGAGGTCTTCAAGCAATGCGTGGGCAGCAGCTGTGCCGAACTCAAGTGCGGCATGGAACGCATGCCACTCGCTTGCACCATGGACTGCGTCAGCGGCTGTTTCTGCGCTCCAGGCTTCTACCGTAAGGGGCACACGGAATGCGTTCGCCGGAGCGAGTGCCGAATCTAGCCCTTCAAGCTCATGCCTAAGGCTTGAATGAATTTCGAGGCCGTTCCGGACCTCACTGGCGAGAGTGAACACTTCCTAAATAAAACCTAGATTGTATGCGAAAAACTTCCGTGTTTTCATGTTCTTACTTGCGAATTCGCGCGTGCCGAAGTGTAACGACCTAAGTCAATGTAGGTTTGCTCCCCAGAATAAGTCAACATATCGCAGATTATTTCTACTCAAAGCATAGGAAAACAAATGCAGCTGTGATGAAAATGACATGGACGTCCATTACCACAGGTTAAAATTTTATTTTAAACTATTCCACAGAATGCTTCGCCTTGTCAAAACTATCTACCCTCTGAATACTGTTTTATTGAGGTACAAGTTCCTTTTGAAAGCGAACTCAAGGTAGTAATGTTGAAGTTTCAAAATTAAAAAAAAAAATCTATATTATCAAAATCGATGCAATGTGTAGGGGCACACAAAGAAGTATAAGTGAGAGTCATGTTTATTTATATCTCTTCTGTTGTTAATGCAATAGCTTTTAAGCGATATCAATGTTTAAGTCAAAATTTACCAGTTAAATAGTCTCAAAAATGCACGAGAACATAAATACATATCACCATGACAAACAAGCATTCCTTGTTTCTACGAAAACTTTTAAACATTCCTAAAAATGTAGCGTACAAAAAAAACGATACTGTTTTCGTCAACACTTGATAGCCACGGCGGAAGCCGGAGAGGAGTGGGAACGAGGAGACTGAAGATAGGAAGTAGCTTACAATGCATTCTCTATCGCCGTACGCGTTTGCTACCAATATCCTTGTTGGGGCATGTACTGTAGATAAGATGAATTTACATTGTTATCTTCATCATTCGTTCAATGCATACGCGCCGAGAGACCGTGGGAGAGGAGAAGACGAGAGGTTCGGGTACTTCAGAGCGCCGAGGTTTGATTAGACCACGCACAGCCGGCTTTCGGCCAATGGCACCTCTCCCATTGGCCTCCTATGCTTTGCAATGGCTGGCCAAACTCTCTCTCCATACGGCTCTGTGCAAACCTCAAGCGAGTTGCCTTTGTTTCCACTGCACTCGTCGAACGTGTTCGTGTGCGAGAGCAAAACGACGGACGCCAGCGTTCGGCGTTCTAACGCGTTGGACGAGTACAGGGGGGACAAAGGACAAAGCTTTAGGTCTACCCTCTAAACATTCCAATCAGAGGCACCCGCACAATTTTCTTTCCTCCTCTCCCTTCATTTTTCGGCGCATATCGCAATCTGGCTTTTGAGTACCAAATGGTACAAAACTCATCCCCACAAGATAATTATTACTTAGTTACGTATATTCTAGAGTCTAATGGCAGCCAACGTTACGATCGCCTATCAGACTAAGAAGTGCAGGGAGTTCCCTGTGAAAATAAACCCATGTTTTTTTGTTTTCTTTTTCCGTCTTGGTAAATACGTTATGCAACGCTGAAGGCTCAAGCTCCGCGGGAACGTGACGCTAGCGTTTGGGATAGGACGTGAAAGTTTGGGAACATGACGTTACCTGGATAAAAATATATTGAGAAAAATGACATTTTTCTACGAGCCGACGTCTCATATCCTCAAAACAAAACTCGACGTTATGGACGCTTGTGAACTTTATATCAGTCGAAAGCACCTTTTCAGCGAGAAAGGGGATATTGTTTTCTTTCTTGCTGACAGGTTTGTTTCTCTTTCAGAGAGATAGATGCTACGGGCTCCCACAATGGGAGCCCGTAGTGTCTACGTTGTTCTGATAATATTAGGCGAAGGTGGACGTCGGATAGAGAATTTTCATTCTTCTTAATAATCTTTTTAATCTAGGTAAAGTCATGTTGGCAAACTTCCACGTTGTATCCCAAACTCCTAAATCATATTCTCACGGAGTTTTATATTTCTGCGATGAATCGCTTATTTACACGGGACGAAAAACGCGGCTCTTTTTTTTTTTTTGGAAATCCCTGAATAAGACCCGACTTGCCATGGTATGTGACTAGAGGCTTTATTTTAGCCCGGGTTATGTTCTCGAATTCCTGCTGGAATCGTGAAAAAGATAATACGTAAAATACGTCATGTTAGCGCCCTTTCTGTGGCATCAGCCATTCTCGGGGCTGCCTATAAGGGTGCGGTGAGGTCAGCATTCCTGAACTGTAGCTCAAAGTTCAAATAAAAAAACGGTTGATTTAACTGGTCTTCTCGAAACTACAACGCTGCTCAACAAATATTTATATCAAGTGATTCTTAAACTAGGTACAGCCAATACGAAGTGTTAGAAAATATTTTTTTCTTTTATTTATTTTTTTAGTTTAGAAAATTTAGAATTAAGAAATATTTTTTTTTATTTTAGAAAACTTAGAAAATATTTAAAGACATCGATTCCAAATGTTCATACATTTTAGATCTTTATCATGTCTGGAGTAAAACAATGTGGTTGATTTAAGTATTGAGAATACACATAAAATGTCAATAGATATTTACTATACTACGTAATCATCAACCTTGTGGGCAATCAATACAAACGGTAACAAGAAAATAAAAATATATCTTTAGAAAATCAATTTTAGAACTCTGAAAATGTTGTTTCAAAGAAGCCTGGTTGGAAGGATATAGCACGTTTTTACAAGTTTCACCGACATGACCTAATCAATGATAATTCATGCTGGTGACACCCATGAAGGTGCTCAGTTATGTTCTAAGCTATGCAATGATAATTGCTTTGTGTCATAACTGTTAATGGTTCCTTTTTCACAAAGAACCTGAATGTGAGCTCAAATGCCCTGGGTAGCAAGTTTGGAAATACCTGTTAACGAATTACCGCAGAGACCGAGAATAAGCTTCTTCTTTTTTAATGATCCGTAGTAATTCAGGCTACCACAATAAAATATGAGCATTCCGAGCAAATTCAACATCTTGTAAACAAGAGTCATTACTGCGAAAAAAGGTTTTGACGTATTCCATCATGTGGAACTATGTGTTTTGATTATATAAATCGCCTCAGCTCTAATCATGCTGCCAGGGGAACGCAGGATAGGTTGATAACCGTAACGATCAATCGGCTAAGTAAAATTTATTAATTAAATTCCTAATTGGTGAAAAATGGCATGTGGTTCCAATCAGCAACTTGCTAATCGTCATCGAAAACCACTAAGGGCCGGTTGCACCAACGCCGCTTACCTTAACCCAAAGCGGCACTTTCCTAAGCCGGCTTAGCGCCCTAAACCGAGCTCAGGTAAGCACGGGTTTAAATTCCGGTTGCACCAAGGTTAAGCCGGCTTTACAGACGCGCCCCTAGCTAAACGCTGGATTTGCCTAGGGAATGTAGGGACAAACAGAGCGAACTAGGGAACGCTGAGAGCGACGAATACGATTGGCGGAGAGGAATCACGTGATGTAAACAAAAAAAAAAAAAACTGCCGTAGTAGTTGTCGTCGGCGTCTGCTTTTCGCTGTATTTCTTCGGTGAGTAACAAATTAAAGGTCTCCAAATTCAATCATTTTTTCGTTTAACTTTCAATAACAGAAGTCAAAGCTTCAAATAAACACGAATGCTCTTTACATCTGTGACTGTGTGTTTAATATCGGTTGATAACAGGATATTTTGACAGTGGTAGTAGTTTTCGTGCTCACATTTTGAGGCGAAGGAGCCATCGGGGGCCCCAAATCTCACCGAACGCGAGAAGGACACTCTACTCGCTACATCGCTGAAGACAAAACATCATGGATATAAGTAGGCAGGTAAGATGACTACTAAAACCAAGTCAAGCCTGAGACCGATGAAGTTCAAAACAGTGACGAACTCGCCACGGCAGCTGCGAAAATGCCCGGAAATTGTCGAATAGAAGTTGTCGAGAGGTCAGGTCACGAGACCTTGCATCGACGGTACTCGTTGCTATCAGCAAGGTGACAAAACTGCACTGTACCGTCGTTGAACATCCGCTGCAGCCTCAAACGGACTTCAATTTCACACTGTCGAGTTCAGAAAAAAAAAAAAAAAAAACTCCCACTAGTACATCACATCGTGCCGATAAGAACGGTCGTCTCTTCGCATCACCTGCCCCAGCCTGCCCCGGTACAGCAATGCACGAATCTAACATAGTAGTCGTTACGATTTGTCGTCGCCACGAATGAAAGATATAAAGCAAAATGTTCCTAAAAAATCGCGATCACCAAAAAAGTTACGGAGGACACAACAAGGCGCAACTTTCAAGTGAATTTTATTGAAAACGTGTTCCGGTATATAGTCTCAACCATCGTCACAATGACAAAAAACGACAAAAGTAAAGGGAAAACACCATCACAGAGCACAACTCGGAAACAACAGTATCTCGTTCTCGGGAAACGAATGAAAGATCTAAAGCAAAGTATATAAAAAAAATGCGATCACCAAGAAAGTTACAGTTATGGAACGATACAGTTTTCTGAAGCCAAGATTCTACTCGCGAGATAAGGAAAATTCACTGAAGATTGTCTCAAAACTCAGAAAACGAAAGAAATTGAATTTTCGCTGTTTTATTACTTAAAAGCGCCGCAATCTAATGCAAACGGCAGAGGTGTCGACAATCAGCTGATCGCCGAGATCATGTACTGCCACTATTCAACGCGCTGATCATATTGAAGGATACGCGCTGCAAGTGTAGATAAACAAGGTGGTAAATAACAATACGTTACAGCTATGCGAAAATTAGTAAGTACATACGAATAAGCTCGTTGACAGAAGAACCAACGGGAATACAGACGTGAGCCCCACAGCTCCGTACGTTTCTCGGTTAGGGCTAACACGCCCTGAAAGTGGAGAGCCAACTTGAAAACAGGGGTCGATCAACACTTCACGCGACAATATTTTGCATCCTTGTCACAATCGAAAGTCATTTTGTCGAAACTTTCACGCTGATGTAGCCTAAAACACTTTGCACAACCAATTTCGTCCACCGCGTCGACCGTGACAAACCAGCCGCCATGTTTTTAATCCAGGATTAAGAAACAACCAGAAGCAAAGCGCCCAATGTTGGGC